AGACTTGCCCAACAATCCACTCTGGGCAGAGCATTGAGCCAAAATCTGAAAATAAAGTGAAAGGAGCCAAAGGGTTACCTTAAGTTACAAGCCACAGAGCTTACAAAGGGATTCCTTTATCCTCTACAATTACTAAAAATTAGAAAACCGCATGCACCTAATCAGTTAATTAACTAGTTGCTTCTTGTGGCTACAGATAGGTGTAGACTTTAATCTCTGTCTTAAAGAGGCTCTAAATAATTGTGGAATTAAGTCATGAGTACGTGTACATGAATGAGGACTATGCATTTGCTTCATACATTTAGGAGAATTTAGGATTTAGTTCAACTCTCAACCAACTAGTTTTGGCTGAATACTCTACTATTCTTGCTCACTCCTCACCAAACACATGAACTTCCCTTGTTTAATTTTTTCAATGAAAAGGTATTTTCACGTAGACAACAAATGAACCTCGCTTGAATTAATTGGCTGTGTCAGTCAGTAGAGGTCAACCCTGCCTCACAGTTCACTCCTGGTCTGAGCGTGACAGTGGTCAGCACTGACCTGGGCCAAGACACTAGCTGTTTGTGATTGGCAGGAGTACAGATGCCAAGTGATTTTTTTTTACTGAATTTTCTGAATCACCTAACTGTTTGGCTTCATCTATGAGTGTCTTGTTTGGATCAGGGGCCTCATGTAAATCTCACAGCACCTGCGTGGCCTATGCACTCAGTCATAGTGACCGAGAATAACTGATTCATGCAATTTGACAAAGTTAAACTGGTCAACTGACGTATCTGAATGGAAACTCCAAGTTGGTAGTAGGTATGGACATGGTTTTGCTCTTTCCAGCCAAAGTTGAGTAGTAGGTGAAGATGATGATACGGCTCCTTTGCTCTAAATTATTCAGAAAATGAATTCCTCTCTCTGGTGGCCTTAGCTGAGGAGATGGTGTCAAATGTCTTCTTGTAAGACCGAAGAATTTCACCAATGTCACTGGCTTATAACCCAAAAAGACATTATACAGTTCTGAGCAAAGTCATGCAAAACCTGGGCAGATGAACAGTGTGTGGGATTAGTTTAAGAGAATGATTTCCTGCACAGAATATCATTATCCACAATTTTCAGGCATTTGCAACTAGCACTTATGGTCATTTTGAGCCCATTAAAATGCTTTTTAGGCATGATGCTGGGCTAAAAAGTAGTCATTGTTGTAAATCCCAGCGAAGAGCTGATTGCATTACTACGCAAATTACAGGCTTTGGGAAACTATTTGCTGAGAATCCTTCTAACATCAGTTGTTGAATAGAACCAGGAGCTTTAATATAATTATGATTAAAGTGAATTCCTAAGTGAAGTGAGGGTGTGAGAGTGAAGAATTTGCTGTTTTTGTCTGAACAAGGAGAAGAGCTCTGGAAGCTTTATTGATCCAGTAAATAGAGGGAGAGAATGGGGAAGTGGGAGATGGGACATGTTCCGCTGGAGCCTGAAAGGGCCCATTACGCTGCTCAGGTGTCTCTTTAAGTGGCCACTCTTAGGATTACTCGAGAATGAAAGACCCAATGTTACACCTATTTAATGAATTAGGCAAGGACTGAACATAACTTAAACTTTTATTAGAGCATTTATTTCACCGTACTAAGAAGTCAATTGAGTCCACATATATGAAATCATTTATAAGCATATATTCTTGAACAATTGGAAAAATTTGTTATATTTGGCCTCATTTGAGATTTGGATACATTGAATTGTGCTATTTATCACCATCTGCAACTCCAGTCACCACTTGAGAACATTGACAAAATGGAAAAACGTGAAAACAAAGCACAGCATGAGCTGGACGTTCTCATTCTGGCCCCACAGCACAGGGCTCGGTATCTGAGTCATGGGCAGGTTCCCTAACTGGTTCTCACTAACTGGTCCAGGGAGGTGTCAGTCACTTCCCACGTCTGAATAGCTCTGTTAAGTGTTAAGACCATGTCAGCCACTGCCTACTCTCGCCTTGCAGAAAGCAATGTTTTTCTTTTAGAAAAACTGAGAAGGAGACACATGCTTCCTTTACTTCCCAGAGCCACACAGCTGAGGTGGCATCTGGGCCTTAAAGAAGCACAGAGTTCGCCACCGTTTGGTTTAAACTCTGTCTTTCCCCTCAGCACTGTGTGGGCCCAGCTTATGGCGGAGAAACAAGCTGGGCAGGGGAGGAGGGAGGGGACTCACCGGACAGTCCTGGGAAGCACTTCTGAACCATGACAAACCGGGTGACTTCTCCCCAGTGTTCAGGCCTTGGGCCTCCCTGGGAACAGGGCGCATCCAGTGTACATGGCCCCTCAGCTCCACCAGGGAGTCTCAGGACAATCCAGGAGCAAAGTTCACTGAGTGTCCGTTTTCCATTTGCTCATCATGCCTCATGTTAGGGGGACCATGTAAGAAAATGTGCTTCTTGCCTTAGCTGAGTCTTCATCTGAGCTTCAAGACTGTTCTACACCTTGGCCGATGGTCTCTGGGCTCCAGACACCTCCTGTTTCAGACCTGGCCCTCTTTACTTTGGGTGTGTCAGGATGCTCATGCATTTTCACCACCAGGGCATCTACGGTTCTCAGTGAATGGCCCTCTCCAGTGGCCCTGGGATCTTGGGCAAAAAGAATGCCACCTTTTCCTGGACGCTTTATACATCACATTAGCTACTAACAGATGCCAGGTGTTCTCCCAATTCATTTGAAAATCAATATTCCTTGTAGCCTTACCTCCGAGTCTTATTGGAGAAATGATTTGAACTGAGTACATTTGTAGAACAAAAGGTAACCACACATTTTCATATGAATGTGAGTCTAGTTTTGTACTTTCTACTATAGTCCACTCCTTGTCTATCTATTCATGTACCAATGCCAAACAGTTTTAATGAAAGAATTTATAGTATCTTTTATTGTCTGGTAGGGCTGATTCTCCCTCACATTTTGTCTTATTCATGCATTGTTTCCCTAGCTATTGCTGCATGATTGCTTTGTGTAGGGAACTTAGCATCTACTTGTCTAGCTCCATAGAAAAGCTTGTTGCCAACTCACTGAAAGGATCTGACTATTCATTTCCAGCCTGATTCAGTCTCTGTGCTATCAAGTGCAAGGCTTGCCGTAATTTCCTAGGGCTGCTATAACAAATAATCACAAACTCTGAGCTTAAAACAACAGAAATTTATTCTCTCACAGGTAGGTTACAAGTCTACAAACAAGGTGTCTGCAGGGTTCCCTCTTACGACACTAGAAAATAATCATTCCTTGATTCCTTTTAGATTCTGGCTGCTGCTGGCAATCCCTGGCCTTCCTTACTTAGAGCTGTATCACTCCCGTTTCTGCCTCCCTGGTGCTCTCCCTGTGAGCATGGCTGACTGTGTCTTTCATGACCTTCTTATCAAGACAGCAGTCACTGGGTGAAGGCCCACCCGAAACCAGTGAACTAATTACATCTGCAAAGGCCATATCTCCAAATCAGGTCACATTCTGAGGTTCTGGGTGGACATGCATTTTTGGAATACACTTTGCAACCCAGTACAGGGCTGTTTTTATAAATAAAAAGGTGTGCATAGGAGGCCTACTTAGAGCCAGGCCAACAGGTCCCATAAACAATAACTGTTATCTTGCAAAAGTCTTTCCCCCAGTTTTGCTCCTACCTGGAGCCATCATTCCATTGTGTGGCTCCTTTCACAGTCAATTCTATAACCAGTGATGTGCTCTTTCAACTTCTCTTTTCCTCGGTCATACTCCCCTAACTCCCTTCTAGCTGATAGCTCTCTCCACCCAAAGCCTCCTTCACTCAGTTGAAATCTTGAGGGTAATGTGTGTACTTGCTTTGTATCATTTGCACATTTAAAAAATGTGCACTTTGTTTTCTTTAGTTTCCCCTTGATTACTCATCCATAGAATGTGTGCTTCTTTGCCTGAAGTATATTTTACAGAGCTTCTTGGATCATTTTACTTTTCAGTATCAACACATAAGTCACAAACTAGTAGCTATCCCAAGGGACAAATTAGAGCAGTACCACTTTAAATGTAGCAATGATTCAGCTGATAAGTCTTGGATAAGACTTTGTGACCTAGTTTCTCCAGCCCTCACCACTTGCCCCTGCTTTGTCCACATTCTGTATCCTGATTCACAAGGTATATGCCCACTTTTGGAACATTTGAACTTGGAGCTCCATTTGAACTCGGGCCATGAATGATGCCCATCTTTGCCTGGGAGCTGTTCGTTTTGCACCAGGAGTTTAGCCCTGTGCTGCCTCTTCGTTTGCCATTCTTAGACATGTCTGCTAGGATCATCAGCTTTGCTGGCAGAAGCTTTATTTTCTCTCATTGACTTATAAGAATTAATTTTATATATAAAGGCTATTAAGTTGTTATTTGTGTGGTAAAATTTTGCCCTTGTTCAACATTTGCCATTCAATTATTTCTAAACTGCAAAAGTTATGTAATTTCATTTAATTGTCAATTTTCTTTTATGGCTGTTGCTTTTAGTACCATGGTAATAAAATGTAAATTAAAAAATTACCTAACTAAAATTGGGAGTAAAAAAAAAAATCATAGCATTTACATATTAATTTTTTAAGTATTATAAGACAATATATTCAAATTAGTCTATTTTCTTTTGCTATTCTTATAAGTGGAATTCTTTACATATATTTTATTTTTTAAATCACCTTTTATTATTGTAAAAGCAGATACATACATTTTGGAAAATTATAAAATGCAGAGAATAAAAGAATATGAAATCATTATATCCCACTACTCACAGAATGTGCGTTTTAACATTGCGGTAGGTTTCTTTCTTTTCAGATCCTTTTATAACGTTTATGCCAGAATGACTTTATATTATTCATAGTGCATTGTAACCTTCTTGCTAATATTGTTCATCTTTCATTTCAAAAACTTTTATCTTACCTAATGGCTAGGCCTTATTCAAATTCCCCTACTGGGCAGAGAGCGGAGGAACCCCGAGTGGTTACGTGATTGTCCCCAGCAAATCTGTTTTCATTAAAGCATGGAATACAGAAAACAACAAAGAAGTTCAGCTAGTGCTCTGGTCTCATCTGAAATTCTACAGCCCCAGCCTCTGACACCTGTTCAGTGTTCCGAATGAGTGAATGAAATGTCCTCCAATTGGTAAAGCTGTAATGCAACAGACAGAAGTCCAGCCTTCTGCTCTTCTGCCTGATGGGTGTGATCTTTGCTCTGCTCCAGTTTTCCTAGCTTCTCCAGATCCGGCCATCCTGGTGCCTCTTCCCGCAGGCTGCTCTGTCATGGCATTCTCTCAGACCACCCACCCCTGAGTGCAAAGAAATTTCAAGCATTCTGACTACTGCTTACTACTGAATGTTCAGTTGGTGAAACTGAAGGTCTTCCACTCACTCAGAAGAAAGAAATCCAGAAGAAGAAGCTGAGCCACTTGCTTCTGAGCTGCTGTGGATGGCCCTGGCTCTCCTGACCACACTCCCCAGTAGGATGTCACTGAGATCCCTCAATTGGAGCCTCCTGCTGCTGTCACTCCTGAGCTTCCTCGTGATGTGGTACCTCAGCCTGCCTCAGTACAGTGTGATAGAGCACATCAACTGGATGTACTTCTATGAGTATGAGCCCATTTACAGGCAAGACTTTCACTTCACGCTTCAAGAGCATTCCAACTGCTCTCATCAAAACCCATTTCTTGTCATCCTGGTGACCTCACACCCCTCCGATGTGAAAGCCAGACAGGCCGTTAGAGTTACTTGGGGTGAAAAAAAGTCTTGGTGGGGATATGAGGTTCTTACATTTTTCTTATTAGGCCAGCAGGCCGAAAAGGAAGACAAAGTGTTATCATTGTCCCCAGAGGATGAGCACCTTCTCTACGGTGACATAATACAAGATTTTTTAGACACATACAATAACCTGACCTTGAAAACCATTATGGCCTTTAGGTGGGTCACTGACTTTTGCCCCAATGCCAAGTATGTCATGAAAACAGACACCGATGTCTTTATCAATACTGGCAATTTAGTAAAGTATCTTCTAAATTTAAACCAGTCAGAGAAGTTTTTCACCGGTTATCCTCTAATTGATAATTATTCCTATAGAGGATTTTACCAAAAAGCCCATATTTCCTATCAGGAGTATCCCTTCAAGGTGTTCCCTCCCTACTGCAGTGGGTTTGGTTATGTGATGTCCAGAGACTTGGTGCCAAAAATCTGTGAGATGATGAGTCATGTCAAACCCATTAAGTTTGAAGATGTTTATGTTGGGATCTGTTTGAATTTATTGAAAGTGGACATTCATATTCCAGAAGACACAAACCTTTTCTTTTTGTATAGGGTTCATTTGGATGTCTGTCAACTCAGACGTGTGATTGCAGCCCATGGCTTTTCTTCCAAGGAAATTATCACATTTTGGCAGGTTATGCTGAGGAACACCACATGCCATTATTAAATTCATGTTCTACTCAAAACTTAGAGAAGGACAGGACACTTTGTGGGACGCGTCAAAGTTGGCACTGTAATGGAACACTCATGAGAAGGTCACTGTGTTGGCTTGCACTGAACTGAAATTCATGATGCACCCATAGACTAGAGACTATAGGCTTACACTTTACTTGTGTTATATTTTGACAGAAATCAAATCAGGCCCTTTAAAGATGATATTTAGAGGAATGAAAACAAAGTCTTTTGTTAATAACAGGACCAAACAATTTAAATATATCATTCTGTAGACTAGAACTTCTTAAAGGGATTTTATTGAATTATAAGCTCATTAGTTCATAACAACAAAGCAGCGTGAAGCTCTATTTATTGAATAGTATAGTCAGTTAATGGTTTTGTGTATCTCTTATGTGGATTACCAGTTTAAAAAATATATAGTTCTGTGTAAAAACTTGGAGTTATACCAAACTATTACCTGTCTTTGGTCATTCAGAAGGTACTTCAAGGTGTTGCAGTATTTCAGAGTTATCAATTATTATTTAATATTGCTTAGAAATTTTTTAGTGTTTAAATGTTATGTTTTTTCAATACTGTATAAACAGAATAGTGAATCACCCTTTACATTTGAACTCTTTTCCAGTTACTTCACTAATGTGTTATTGATAACTCCATTAATGTAAAGTCATTGGTCATTATTGTGTATCAGTAATCTCTTTAACTTTGATAAATATTTTATTGTGGTAATATAGAGAAGAATGAAAGGGAGAAAATCTGAACTATTGTCTTGTTTTTAAAAATATAATCCCCAGTATTTTTAGATGTCACTTTATCGGTCTCGTTTTCTTCCTGGGAATTAGGATTAACATAGAATGCCAGGCAGTGTGTTTCCTTTGGGAAAGGACTCTAAAGGCAAAAAAGAAAAGACTCTGATGGCCAGAATACATCGAAAGGAATGTCGTATTCTGGTACTTGAGTTGGAAAGAGAAGACTAAAGATTTGAGTTACATTACTAATCTCCGTGTGTTTTCTCATTAGCAATCAGTTTGAGAATAAAGAGGGGGGAAAAAAACACAAAACAAACAAAAAACAAAAAAAACAAAAACAAATTCCCCTACTGGTTCTCAAAAAAATTTTTAGATGTTTACCAACACCAGGGTGGGTGAGGGCATGAGCGGGGGTGGGAGGGGAGCAAAGGGGGGGATAAGGACACATATGTAATACCTTAATCAATAAAAAAAGAAAAAAAAGTTGTATTCAATCCAGATTCTACTTGAATTTGTAGCATTTGCTTGTTATGTTCCTTAAGTCTCTTTCAAGCAGCGCTGGCTGCCCTGGCCTGTGTGATGCTGAAGGATCATTCTATTCACCAAAAGGTCACAGGTTCAATTTCTGGTCAGGGCACATACCTAGATTATGGGTTCGATTCCAGTCAGGGATAGTGTGGGAGGAAACCAACCAATATTTCTCTCACATTGATGTTTCTCTCTCTCTCCGTTTCTCTCTCCCTCTTTCCCTCTCTCTCAAAATCAATGAACATGTCCTTGTGTGAGGATAAAAACAAACAAAAAGCACAGGTTTTGTTTAAGAGATCAAGCCAATCATTCTCCAGAATGTCTCCTCTGTAGTTGGTTGCTTACTCATTGTATAGTTTGGCTTGTTCCATCCCATGTACAGTCAGCCCTTAACGTGGGTTCTGCATCCTGGAATCAACCAACCACGGATTGAAAATACACATATTTTAAAATTTCATCTCATTGCTGACATGTACTATGAAGTTAGGCCTATGACAGTTGCTGGTTGCATCTTTACTGACTTTTTTTCTGGTCATGCTTCCCTGCAATGGTGACTTAAATAGCATTTGTATTGTCTTAGGTATTATACATAATCCAGAGATGATTTAAAGTATATTCGAGGTGTGAGTAGATTATATGCAAATGATCCATTTTATATAAGGGCCTTGACCATCTACAGATGTTGGTATTCACAGGTGGTCCTGAAAGTAATCCCCACAGGGACTGAGAAACAACTGCATATCTACTAACCTGGAGCTAAATGGAAAGTTTGATACATTCAAGTCAAATATGTTGACATCTAATATGATAATTCATGTAAGCGATGTGGACTTCATGCTGAATCCTATCAGAAGATACATTATCTGACTGTCCCACATTTTATGATACTAAGATGGGACAAGATGCTGGATCAACTAATAGGCTGAGTGACAGACATCAGATCCACTTATTGAATAATTACATTTTCCCCTCATAACTCTTGTTGGGTTGCACACTATCCAAAAATCCAACTCACACAATTGTCTTAACAGTGATTCATAATCATTTTCTGAATCAATAATTTCATTAATGTTTACAAAATTATTTGTTTTAATGCTGTCGGTCCTCCTTCTTTGTTAGCAGGCCTTCCGTATTACTCATCAGCAGGGTTATTTGCTTCTCCTGGAATGTATTTCTATTGTCAAGATAGGATACATGCTTTCTTCCTTCTCACTAGGAAACAGTCATCAAAGACAGGAGTTGCTATTATTGCTGTTTCATGCAGTTAGCAATTACTTTTTTTATCTTTCTATTTTTTAAGTATTCCTATGATTCATGAATTTTTACTTGAATTTGTAACATTTGAATTCACTACAATATCACTTTTACCTATTATTTTTAAGACTTTTTTTCAGGGAAGTTTTATGGTCTACAAAAAAATGCATAGGAAGATACAGATTCCTCAGATAATTCCTATCCCTCCAACATGCAGTCTACCCCATTATCAACATTATTCACCAGAATGGTATATTTTTAACCAAGGATGGACCTCCATTGCCACACCATCATCACCCAGAGTCCATAGTTTACTTTGGGGTTCACTCTTGGTGTTGTGTATTATATAAGCGTGGACAAATGTACAATGACATATACCCGTCAATATAACATCCCACAGAGTATTTTCACTGCCCTAAAAATCCTCTGTGCTCTGCTTATTTATCCTCTCCCTCTCCTCCCTCCTCCTCCTCCATCTGGTGGTCTTTTTATTGTCTCCATAGTTTGCCTTTTCTATAATGTAATATAGTTAGAATCATACAGTATATAGCCTTTTAAAAGCAACTTCTTTTACTTGGTAATATGCATTCAGGTTTATGCCATGTCTTTTCATGGTTTGATAGCTCATTTCTTTCTACCACTGAATAATGTTCTATTGTCTGAATGTAGCATAGTTTACTTATCCACTCACTTACTGAAGGAAATCTTAGTTACTCCAAAATTTTAGCAATTATGAATAAAACTGCTATAAATATTCATGTGCAGGTTTTTGTGTGGACATAAGTTTGCAACTCTTTGGTAAATACCAAAGAGTATGATTGCTGAATCATATGATGAGTATGTTTAGTTTTGTAAAAAAAAAAACCAAAAACAAAACCTCCAAACTGTCTTCCAAAGTGGCTATATCCATTTTGAATTCTCACCAGAAACTAATAAAAGTTTCTACTGTTCCACATCCTTCTCAGTATTTGCTGTTATTTTCTGGAGTTTGGCCATTCTAGTAGGTGTGTAGTAATATTTCATTATTGTTTCAATTTGCATTTCTCTATTGACAACTAATGTGAAGCAATTTTTTATATGCCTATTTGCCATCTATGTATCTTTTTTGGTGTGGTGTCTGTTAAATTCTTGGGCCTGCTTTTAAATAAAAGACTTTTATTTAAATTGTGTAAATAAACTTTTATTTAAGTTATTTATTTACTATTGGACTTATTATTTATTCATCTATTTATTTCAATATACATAGACAAAGTAATAGATGTTGCAAACACAGAGGATTCTCTATTTATGATCAAGACCGTCTCCCACTCCCCCAAAAAAGTCATTCCTAAGTTCATTTACTTGGAAGTTCAGAGTGTAATTATAAATATAAACACTATTATTAACAATTAGTATTAGGCAGAGTTGATAAAATTATTTGTTAGTCCTTGTGCTATAAAAGCTTTTATGTTCAAAATTCTTAAAAAAGATGCTTGGCTACAAAAATAAATAAAGCATGCTTTAATAAAATTACTGTTCATGGGCAAGAAGAGAGTAAATACAATTATGTTACATTACCATTCCAGAAAAGAAGGTCTGAAGAATGAAGATCATTCTAAACTTTTAAAACTTTTTATTATGGAAAATTTCAAAAATATAGAAAAGTAAACAGAGCACTACTGTGAATTGCATGCAGCTATCACCTGGCATCGAAACTATTCAGCACGTGCCAATCTTGTTTCATCTACACCCTATTCTCTTCTCCCTCACCCTGTGATATTTGAAGCAAATAACTAAACATCATTCATAAATATTTCAATACCTAGCTCTAAATAAAAGGGCCTTTAAAAGCATAATTAAAATACCACTATCACCCTAGAAAATGAGCAATATATCATTATAATCTTAAGTATCTTATAGTGTTCAGATTTTTCCAATTGTTTTAGACTAACAATGGACCTGGGTATATACTAGTAGTTAAGGTAAATTTGTTCGAGTCTTGGTTGAAATAAAGTAACATCCCATTTGGTTGATTTGTTACCTCAGAATCAAAGATTCTTTTGTGATATCTTTCTTCTTGCAAATTTGTATTGAAGGGGCCAAGTTATTTGTCCTGTAGAATTTCCCACAGAGTCATTTAACATGAGCCTTGAATTTTTTTTGTTTATTTTTAATTAAATCTTTATTGTTCAGATTACATTTGTTCCTCTTTTTTCCCCCTCCCATAACTCCCCTCCTTCCAGTTCCCGCCCCACCCTCCGCCCTCACTCCCCACCCACTGTCCTCATCCATAGGTGCACGATTTTTGTCCAGTCTCTTCCCGCATCTCCCATTCCCCTTTCCCCCCAAAGAATAGTCAGTCCATTCCCTTTCTATGTCCCTGATTCATTATAATCACCAGTTCATTCTGTACATCAGATTATTTATTCACTTGATTCTTACATTCACTTGTTGATAGATGCATGTTTGTTGTTCACAATTTGTATCTTTACCTTTTTCTTCTTCTCTTCTTAAAGGATACCTTTCAGTATTTCGTATATACTGGGTTTAGTGGTGATGGAACTCCTTTAGCTTTTCCTTA